CGATTACAGGACTCACAACTGGGATTGAATCGAAATTCAGCACAAATCACATGACAATCTAAAATTATGAATAGTTTTGATGATGTTGATAATAATAGTAATAATAATAATAATACTAACAAAGAATACCTGTCTGTAACTGATCATCCTTCGGTCAACCATACCACACTAACACTAATGTATGTTTCCCAACAGCCGATCCTATATCTATGCACAAAATGGCTGCTCTTCGTCCCCATCACCCATACCTTATTTATATATAATCACTAATTTAAACACATTATAACTACCTGAAGTATTGAGCATAGCAGAAGAACTACTAGTATCATGTGATAGAGCCTCAGAATGATTCTCTTTTTAAACTAAATCGGCGAGTAAATGAGACAGCAGTTCCAGCGCCTTCTTTTAGTGCCTAAAGACCACTTAACTCGATCAAGCCTAACTAGAACTGGTCCTTGTCTTCTTTGAGAGTAAAATGGAAGTCCATTTGGTACCAAAACCCCTTTCTTCCTGCGTTTTTCCTTGAAGAAGCAACACCATCTAGAGCCGACATTTTTACACGTGAATAAAACGGAAGCCACCATGCCCAGGGCCCCGCCTTTTATACCGCACCTTCTCGTTTAAAACAGTCTTGCTGTTACTGATAAGCAGTACAATAGCTGCTGGAGTCAACTAGTCTTCATAAAAGCCATCATTATCAAAAGATCTCGCTCTATTAGCTTTTTAAAAGAAGAATTATCAGTTTGGGCACTCGACTACATGTGCTTATGTAAACTATGACATCATGAAACGTCATTGCGGTTAGCTTTGGTATGCCATTAGGTTTATAGGGAGAACCCAGTTCTCAGGGTTCCCAAGGGTTGAGAGACCCAAGGTTTCACAGATTTTGATGGACTTTAGCGACTAAGAACCTGTGAAAGTTTCATCCTTATCCCACATTCCAATAAAAAGTTATTCCAGTTTTTCTTGTCCCAAACTCAACTGGGATATAGTATAGTTTTGATTTGAAACTGTCTTTTGCTGTCACTGTGGCGTCTCCCAAGGTAAAAATCACTGATCAATAGCATTTAGAACATGGAAAAGGCTGGTTAGTAACAGCATTATCCTTGTTAGTAACAAGCCCACTGTCTCACGGTACATGATCTAAAGAACCTAGACAGCACATTTTGGAAACGTAACTTTGGAAACATTAATTTGTTTCCTCGGTAATCTAAATATCATAGGAACCTCAAATGTGTTGTCTAACATAGATTTAGACCTCAAAAATTTTTTTAAATAAAATAAAACTTGAGCCAACAGCAGGATTCAAACCCGGGACCTCACGCAAGCGACTTCAGGAAGCTTAAGGAGGCATCTACAAGGCATCTGTGGTCTTAGGAGGCTAGATTTGTGTATTTATAGTTCCATTTTATTGCTAACCCGGTGTTTATTTGCACCCGGCTTTTATTTGAGGATATACTGGTAGGTTAATCAAATGCAGGGGCAGATCTAGGGGGGGATTGTGGGTGCTAACCACCTACTGGTAGTTTATATAGCAGCATTACTGTGATTAATGAATATAATTAACAAAAAAAAAGCTTCAAAAATGGATTTTGGAAATTACGTATATATCGCTATAAAAGAGGCATGGCTAAAATCACGGCACGCTAGCTTTGCGTGCTGCATGCACAACTCCTCCTCTATTTCTAAATCCTGGATCCATCCCTGAATGATGCTAGACAATTTCATTCAATTTGCAAGCAATAAATTTAGCTATTCAGTGTGATCTCTGTATAACAGTCTTTTATCAGACAGAAGCAGCTGAATCAACAATTGTAGCACATTGTGCTACATTGTGTACATGTAGATAGGATTCTAAGAAATGCCATTTTTGCTAATGAACTCAAAATGGGAGCTACAGCTTCTCCCAAATTTTTACAGAATAAGCATAATGTCAATGATTTACACAAAGCATGCTTTATGAGTTAACAACCTATGGTTTTAGATAACTAAAAAAATTCCACACATCCACACAATATAAATACATGTACAGTATAATTATGCATGCCAATTTTATCTGTGTTTTACCCGGTAATTTTACAGAACAAATTACAAATGGTAGAAACGGAGTATTGGTATACACTTATAAACAATAATTATTTTGCACTGCATGAGTATAATTTGATTTAATCAAGAAAAAAATTAAATGCTGTATAGTGGGAAATTTTGAAGGGAATAAAATTTGTCGTTTTGATAGCCATTTGCCAAAATAAAATGCACCATTTTGAACCATTATATGCATGCTCAATGGCACATAGCCACTAATTTGCCAAATTAAAATTCGCCAATCACCAAATTTTAGCAATTCACCAAATTTAATTCCCTCTAAAATTTTCCGCTCTATATTTTGTATAATAACATGCACAAAGTTGTATTTTATAAATGATACCTGAATCTACATGCATTTGAACTTTTATATCAAGATGAACAATAAAATGGAAATGAAGTGATTTCAAGACTTCTTCTCTCCATTTCTTTGCTATCTCTCTAGCGTGTGATTCGGGAGGTCCTTTCTGTGTCATTATACTCTGGATAAATTTACTGCAGTGCTCCTGTATCGCTTCGACGGACTTCTTGAAGTTCAGTCCGGCCTCAAACTCTCGAATCAAGCTGTCGTAGGTTGGGTACTCCATGACTGACTCTGAGATGAGACCGCGTGCATACATTTCTCTGGAAATTTGTGAAATGTTGTCTTTCAGCAAAGCATTGAATGTAGTGTGGTTAGTATGCATCACTCGAACTATTATTCGTGTTAATTCATGGATATCTACAAGGAGCAACAGCAAAAAGACAATAAAGTAGTATAATGCTTATATATACACTGATGTCACCTAACCTTGTTGAGTAACCAATTCGCTTAATATATCAATAGCATGTTTTGCTAATGTCTCATCTCCTAAATCCTTTAAGACATTACAGACATCAGCCAAATACCGTTGGGGATCATTACAGGAATGCAATTGTACCCGCAACACACCCACCAGTTGGGCAGCTTTTTTATCATCAGAACAAGCTACTATTGAGGTATCTTCAACTGCTTGTTGCGGTATTAGACCCTTAGCATTTAGTTTTACAGCTACTTGAGCCAGATTGTTGGAAATCGCTCGAATAAGAGCATAAGAATTTGCTCGTAGTATATCTCTTGGATCCCCTACAGGAATATAGGCACTTAGTCTAACAAAGGTCTGTTACCTGGGCCAGGATTGAGCTCAATATCTCCTGACAAAAGGAGGAGGAAGACCAAATAGAGACCGTTAGCGTTGCTTGTTTTTCCTGATACATGAATATACATATACTAAGTCACTTTGTTATTTATATTTAGGCTCAGCCCTACCTTTTATTCGAGGAATCATAGAAATAAGATCCTTCATAACGTTCCAACTTCTTGTTTATCCCTTCTCTATAGTCCGAGCTAATCTTGCAGTCTCGCCCTTCACTCTTAAGTGCATGCAGCCTGCAGGCGTGGTGAGTGGTTTTAGCATAGATAATAGTATTATGGCAATAGAGTATGAATACTTAATATATATAAAAATAAAAAATAAGAGCCCCCTAATTGTCAACTGTTTCAAAATGTTTGCTAGTGGTGTGGCAACTGTACCATTGCCATAGTTCTATTAGTTTACTTCCAAAAAATCACAAGAAACAAAGCAAAGAGAAGCAGTGCTACTCCAAGAAAAATCATAGTTGTCGTGACTATGTACAAAAAAAGGAATACAAAAAATGTTTAAAGATGATTACATTTACCAGAAGATGAAGGATTAGAAGGTGGAGGAGGTTTATCAGCTCCTTCTGTTCCACTTGATTCATTACTAGGAGCAGCAGCTACGAATTAAATGTATATCACCATTTTATTATTTTCTATTATTACATCAATATTGGTAGAACTTACAAGGTCTTTGCCTCAACTGTGTTCCATCATCAGAACCTAATTATAGAATACTAATATTAGTCATGATTTAAAACTATCTCTACGTATCAATAATAGCAATTAAACTGATGTACCTGCAATTTGTGATGGTTCAGAATGACCTTGATAGTTGACTATAAATTAACATGTCATCAATAATGATTCATAATAATTATAATACATACTTTGCTCAACTGGTTGTGATGGAATTAAACCATGCTGGCCTCCTATTATAAGATAAAAAATTTTGTGCTCATAATTAACAAATCACAATAAAAGTTAAGAGATTTTAGGTAAACAATATTTTCATTAACTAACTGATAAAATGAGCTCCTGTTTCACCGATCCTTTCTATTGCATCACACAACGTGCTCCAGTTTGCTCCTCCATTAGCATCAACATCGTCTGCCCTACTCAACCATTTTGAAATGCATGCTTTGAGACATTCTTCAGCTTCCAAATAATCTGATTTGATATTGTTTAGAGTACGAGAGCGTAAGCCCTAACTCCACCCCAAGACTGTGCCAGCTTCTGTCATTAAAATCTTCCTCCCTTAGATCATTCAGCATTTGACTCAGATTCCTGATTGTTAGTGTACTCTGAGATACTATAGGTAGTTAGGGATAAGCTAATATTATTATTATTTTGTGTACCTTGTCTTGCTGGTCTTGTTCCAGTATAAGCTACTGCTGGAGGTGAAGGTTCTTGTTGATAGTAAGACTTCTATATTTAGGTAAATTGTGAATTGATCTACAATTTTTAAAAAATTCAAAAAATAAAGGTATGCTCTAGGTTAAAAATAATAGAATGTAACAATACATGGAAATTTGGCAGGATAACACATTTAACTTTTTTCGAAAAATTTACTCACAAAACCCTCACCCCCAAATGTTTGGTATATTTAAAACTTGGCAGATAAGATGCTCCAAAATTGGGTCAAAGTCCCTGTACTATTAGTAACGGGGTAGCATTACTAAGTAAGATTTACCCCAAAATAATATAGGCCTAAGTTCACCAAAATTCAAAAAAGAAAGAATTTTCCATTTTTTCAATACAAATACATGTTTTTGTGTTCTGTAAAAGTTTGAGTTGATTCTGATAAAAATTAGATTTTAAAATCATTTTTAAAGTTGCCCAAAAATTGGGTAAAGTCCCTGTACTATATAGCAAGGCTGCAAAAGTCGTGGCAGCCATTTTGTTTGGGGGTGAATCCTACTTAGTAACGCTACCGCGTTACTAATATAGTACATGTAGAGTCATCGGCCAAATTTTGTCAAAAATGAAAAAGAAAAAATTCTTCATTAATAATCATAATTTTTTTCTGATTATGTTCTAATGCTGTGTAGGAAGTTTGAGCTGATTTTGATAAAAATTGGATTTTTAAAAATTTTTTGAAGTTGCTCAATATTAGCAAGTAATCAATTCTTATACTGTAATTCTTCTCCTACAACAATAATTACAGCTACTTCTGTGGATGGTAGGTTTCCTTCCTTTATTTTTTTAAAAATCACCATGGGCATTTTTCAAAATTTGGCCAATTTTATAAAAACAACCATAACTTGAAAAATCGAAGTAAGAATCAGTTCAAATTTTCTACACAGCATAAGGCATCATTATGTATCATAAATTTGTAATAAAAATTTGGAGTGATTTTGAAGCAATTTTATATCCTTGGGTAATTTTCAAAAATTGGCCGTTTAAAAAATGCAAAAAATACTGCTCAAGCTCATGACTGGAATCAGCTAAAACTACTGCAATAAGCTGAGTGTTTTAAGTGATAAATCTATCATTTATAATACTATTATGATAAATAAATCCTTACAATAGATATTAGTCTTACATGTCTTAGTAATCCTTCAATGCTTCTAATGTAACTAAGTATGATCAAAGTAGTTCTTCTTTCAGTTAAAGATGGTGTAGCTCTTTCTTCTCCATCAGTTGCAGTCTCTCTAGCTTCAGGAGCTCTCTTCTCTTTCTTACTCATTAATCATTAGTCTACCTAGTATACACGCCCTTGACCTCAAGTCAAGTGGGTGGGTTGTCATAGTTAATTAAATTCACTGAAAATGTTGCTCAGAAATTTTCTCAAATTCTATCAGTTAAATAATACATAAATTGAAAACATATAGATTCATAGCTTCTTAAAAATTTCTACAACGATAGGTCCAATAATAGTAGATGCCAGAAGACTTTGCAGTTTAGTGATGTCACTTCCATTTCTCCAGGTCATGAGCAAATTAATAACAACAACCACAACAAAAGTTCCAAAAAATATTCTTATAACTACATAATAGTAAATACTTGCTATATATAACTGTTACAATTACTTACTATGAGTCCACATGGAAAAATATTCAGCTAAAGATGAGACTATTAGACCAAGTACAAGTCCATAAAACACTGTTGCTGGAGCTATATAAAACACTGTTGCTGGAGCTATATAAAACATTAACATCTTGCTTTTTTTGTTTAACTTGAACTTACTAGAATCCTTGATGAAAACAAAATATCCAAACAAAATTAGAATTATCACTCCAAGCAGTACTAGTCCATAAATTCCAATAGCTGCTGTATAAGATAAATATCCTAACAAAACAAGGAGTATTACAATAACAAACATGATTGTCAATGTAGACCAGTTATTTGACATAAAGATAATTATAGTAATCATTATAATAACTGATAAAAAATACACCTCATAGTCACTCATACGCAATGGTTAAAGTTTTCTTGGTGCTAATATTTAAAATTTTTGAAAATACCTTGCTGATATGTCATTTTAGTAAATTGGGCAGTGATTTACCAAATTTTGCAAATAATGAAAAATACATGACATCATTGCTCATAAGAGGCTTTGTGCATAAAAATCTCCATTATATACCTGAGGGAATATTCCTCAATGATCCATCAATGCATAGTATTACTGGACGATGTACACCTTTCAATGGTACATCATAATATAACTTAGGTACAGTGGTAAAAGAAGGTGAACCATGAACCAATATCACAGAACTAGGAGGAAAGGCATCATCTTCACCAAATTCATCAATGTCTTCTTTGTATAACTACAATAATTAATGAACATACTGAGCTTCAAGTATTGAGGGAAAACTCATGTATACATGCATACACGATCATGTACCGTATAGGGTGCCTTCTTTTCGAGGGCTATAAATTTCGTGAATTTTAATTTTGCGAATTTAATTTTCATGAAATTATGCCGTCTGCCATCTTGTACTGTATTAATTTGACTTTCGCAAAAGTAATTTTTGCAAATCTTCAAAATCCACAAAAATTATATCCCTCAAAAAAAGGCGATCAACTATATATACATGTATCATATCATGTATGTATCATGTATACTTGTGCCACATGGCACACGTGGTAGAATTCGCGAAATTAAAATTTGCAAATTGGAATTTTAGCAGATTTCGCGAAATATAATTCCCTTGAAAAAACCACTTAATATATAGCCGGATACTCACAGATTTTATCTTTGTGAATGATTAAAAAATTGTGAACCTACAGACATCTAGAACCCTCAAAAATAATGTAAACATTGTATGGTTTCAATGGGGGGGGGGGAGATTAAATAAAAACAGCTTTCCTTGCTGGTTAAACAAACAAAATTTTATGTCAACAAAAAAAAATCTTGTACACATATTTTGCTTACCCTACAAGGTTTAACGAGAGGTTTAATGGTCCAACCAGTGAATGGATGCTCCTGTGGAGTGTGATCTAATATCAGCTCAATATATTCAGATGAGTCTCCAAATCGATAATTAATAGGCTGCCTCTTCTTAGCTTTAGCATAATATTTCTCGATGTGCTAATAACAATAAATAATACAGAGTTACAGACTCATTAACAAAATAAAATATCAGCCACTACCTCAATGAGAGCGTTCAGTTTTTTAGCAGTAGTGAATGTCACCTCATCATTCGCCTCATCATTTACTTCATAATACAACACAGCAATATATGTTATTGATTTTGATACACCAGTAGTGAAGGCTTCTAGAAACAATCACAAAATGACCATCTGTTGACACTATTGAACTAACTTTCCTTGACATCTTTTTGCAACTCCAATAGCTCTATTTTTCTTTCTTTATGCTCCTCTTCATCAAGTTTTTCTTCGTCATACTTATTTCCGACTTTTTCTTGTTGCTGCTGCCATCCCTTCTTTTTATGACGACCTCCTTCATTCTCCTCTTCTTTTCGTTTTCGTTCCTCCTCTTCTTCCTCTCCTCCAATACTCTTGATGCCCACAATACTGACAAGACAAAACTCCTTTCGATTAATAGACCCGTACCATTTAGTCTCATTAAATTTTCCTCCATTAACCATGGAGAAATGATAAGGAAGACCAGGTTGGCTGATTGGAGCTATGGCAAATTTTAAATGATTGCTAACACTTGGATCATCTGCAGTATCAACACAGTGTTGGATCTCGAGCCTCATAGGTTTAAGGAGAGGTCTGGATACAAAGACTGCATACACAGCACTAACAAGTATTGTGTTCTCAGGAAACACAAACTGTCCTCCTACAAGAGCAACTACAGCAACTTCCACTGTCTCTGTCGATGGTAAGGTTCCTTCAGATACTCCTATTCTTAGCCCATACCTCTCCCAGTTTAGCAGTTGAGGTCTGTCTCCTTGTATCAGGAACAGTTTCTTACTGGCAATATGAACATCACTGAGACCTGCTAACTGATCTGCAATGTACAACACATGGCCATTATTATACATGTATTATTGTATAAAGTTATTGATAAACATTAACAATATACCTGTAATTTGTGGGCCTGGTTCAACATGATCTAAAGAATATGCTATAATAATAAAAGAAAAATATAAGATAATATAAAATGAAATTCATACTCTGTTTTCTCATTTGTGGAAGAATGATTATTATTGATATTATCATAAGACTCGTAACAAATGTCAACATACATGTACGTACAAAATGTATATCTGATAAAAAAGAAAAAATATTTATTATGCAACATACATGTAATTATAAGGAGATTGAGGATTACATTTTAAAGGATTATCAGGTTCTTCTGTTTGACTTGATTTATTATGAAGAGCAGTTGTATGAGCTATATAGTGTCATTATAATAAAAAATTAATGAATGTTTATTTTATAATTATAATTATTACCAAAAAGTTCTTTTGTTTGACTTGATTTGTATAGAAGAGCACCGTGGCTTAGAGCAGTTTGAGCTACATTGTTAAATGCATTATTTGACTTACCACAAGCAAATATTAGTTACATGTAAATATTGCATATACATGTACAATACACAAAACTTACATAAAGCATCTGAAGTTCTGAACTATTTGTACTAGACAAAAATTATCATGACACCAAAATCTGATGTCATCTATATCTAAACATGCATATTAATGCTTTGCTTGCTATTCAATGGCAATGGTGATATTCTCTCACATTCAATAGACTAGCATACCGTAATACCAGTTATATTTAAGAAATACACCACTTCGTCAGAAAACAAGCATAAAGAAAGATATGCAAGTGGAAATCTGGTGTCATCTAGGTAAT